CAAGCTTCTGAAACTGTTATTTCGGAAGTGCAAATGAAGATGCACAATGATACATTTGAGCGAAACAAACGAAAACTCAATCTGTGTGTGCTCAAGGTTCCAGAGAGCAAAAAGACTACCTCTAAGCAACGCCAGGAGGACGACTCCAAGTTCTGCAGGGAGACCCTAAAGATTAAGAAGGACGACATGATAAGTTGCCATCGCTCTGGCAAGCTTGATGCTGACAAGCCAGATCACCGTCGCCCGCTCATCATCCAGACACGAGATGAAGAGTCAGTAAATTTCTACGCTGACCATGGTAAGGGCTGGAAAGAGTCAACTTATTGGATCAACTTGGACCTCTGCAAGGCAGACAGAGATATTCGTTTTTTAGCCAGAAAGGAGAGGAAGAAGAGGCAGGAGGAAGCGAAGAAAAGAGAGACAGAGAAGACGAAGGAGGAGGCAAAGAAAAGAGAGCCAGAGAAGACAGAGGACAAAGCGGAGGCCGCAGTGCCCAGCCGTTAAATATTTTTTATACCAATGCTAACGGCCTATTTAATAAAATTGATGAACTAAAATGTATTTTATCAATGTATAAATCTATTGAGGTAATTTGTGTAACAGAAACTCATTTTAGTAGTGATATATTAGATGCCGAAATTTATATTGAAGGATTTAGTATGTTTAGAAAAGATAGAGATTTTAGAATTGACAATTCCACTGGCAGTATAAGTGGTGGAGGAGGCTCTATAATTTATGTTAAAAACTGTTGTAATGCTTCACTAGTGAACTCTTTTTTAAAGGCACCGGATTCTTTAGCTGTTAATATCAACACATCAGGTGGACTGATTAGTATTTGTTGTATTTACAGATCCACTTCATTGAATTTAGAACAGAATAATGCGTTAATATCTTGTATCAAGAGCATCTGTAGTGAAAGGAATGATTTTGAAACACTCCTTTTAGGAGATTTTAATTTACCAAATGTTTTATGGGAAACTGGTAGCATAAATAGTAATATTGCTAGCAAGAACCAGTTTTTAGTTACTCAACAGAAATTCATGGATGTTTTCAATGACAGTGGTTTAACTTGGTATTTCACCAACGAGACAACTAGAAGACGGCTTGTGAAGGATACTCTCCAGGAGAGTCTTCTTGATCAGGTCCTGTATACAAATGATGCTCTTGTCAACGGTTGTAAGATCGTTTCTCCGCTTGGTAAGAGTGATCATGTTGGGATACTTGTCGAACTAGTTGTTTCGCCGGATACTAGCAAATGTTTAAAAGAGAAGATTATCAAACCTATATGGGGTAAGATTTCCTCTGAAGAGTTATTAAATTTTAGTTTGAAAAATATCGACTGGGATTATAGTTCTACCAATGATGTTCAAGATATGTGGGCTGAATTACATGGTAAACTGGAGACTGTTGCTGCAGCTGTTCCGACTGCTTCGGTTTATCTCGACAACAGACCTGTCAAGTTGCCATGGAGTACATCTGCACTTAAACGAATGAGAAAGAATAAAGATAAAGCATGGGCTGAGTTTGATATTAATACATCTGATGTTAATTTTAGTTATGCAAGTAGCAAACAACATACTTATGAATTAGCAGAAATTAAAGCTAAAGTTAATTATGAAAAGAAAATTACATCTAATCTGAAGCAGAATTGTAAGTCTTTTTACTCTTATTTACGAAATAAACGTCAAGTTAAGTCTAGTGTGGTTTCTTTAGATAGAGGAGATGGTACACGCACAGATAGTTCGACTGAGTCAGCTGAGGTACTCGCAAGTGCCTTTAGCTCTGTTTTTGTGCGTGAACCACCTGGCCCTCTCCCTAAAACTGAGAATTTAAGACCTGACAATGAGAGTATTGATGATATTGATGATATGGAAGTCAACAGTTCTGATATAAAAAAGCAACTTTTAAAGCTTAACATTTTTAAGAGTTCTGGTCCGGATGGTGTTCATCCGAAGTTGTTGAAATCGCTAGCTTATGACAACAATTTTGTTGAAGCAATAACTAAATTATTTCAAAAGTGTTCAGATACAGGATCTTTACCTGCAGTGTGGAAATCTGCATCTGTTGTAGCATTGTTTAAAAAGGGTATTAAATCAGACCCCTTAAATTGTAGACCAGTTTCATTAACTTGTATTTTGTGCAAAGTGTATGAAAAGTTGGTGAGAGCACATGTTTTAAATTTTCTAGAACATCGAATTTCGAAGCATCAGCATGGATTTGTTAAGGGTAAATCGTGTTTATCTAATCTTTTAGAGACATTTGATGACATTCTTGACATTTTAGATGAAGGTGCCCCGGTTGATCTTCTATACTTTGATTTTAGTAAGGCGTTCGACACAGTCCCCCACTTTAGACTTCTGTCTAAATTGGAAGGCTTTGGTGTCAAAGGAAAGGTTTTAGATGTTATTAAAGATTTTCTGACAGACAGGACTATGAGGGTTTCTGTAGAAGGACAATGGTCCGAGGTTAAACATGTTTTATCTGGTGTTCCTCAGGGGTCAGTTCTAGGCCCTCTCCTATTCATTCTGTATATTAATGATTTGCCTGACCTTGTAAAAAATAAGATAAAGTTATTTGCTGATGATCTTAAATTAATTGGTAATGCAGCTAACCACGGTAGTGTTGCTGAAGATATCGAAGAATTAGAAGTTTGGGAAAGTATTTGGCTTTTACAATTTAATCCTGCCAAGTGCAAAGTAGTGCACATTAATTTTAACAACAATCCTAATTTAAATTATAAGGTAAATGGTATAGAACTTGAAGTATCTGATCAGGAAAAAGATTTGGGTGTTATTACCCATAGCTCCCTGCTTTGGAACGAACAGATCAAAGCATGTATCGCTAAGGCAAATCGTATGATTTGTTGGATTGTAAGGAATTTAGTTATTAGAGAAAAGGTTGTTATGATTGCTATATATAAAGCTTTAATAAGACCTCATCTTGAGTATTGTGTCCAATTGTGGAATCCACCTGCGGCTCATGGAAGTTGGGGGACTGTTTTGGAGCTGGAGAGCGTCCAGAGGCGGTTTACCCGTCTGATTGATGAGGTGGGTACTCTTCCTTACAGCCGTAGACTGGAAATCCTCAATTTGACAACGCTGGCAGAGCGGCGAATACGTGGGGACCTTATTGAAGCTTTTAAGGTTATTAATGCTATGACTGATTATGGTTCAGACTTGTTCAGACCAAGCAGATCAGGTCTTAATCTGGTTTCATCCAATAGATGTAGTAAAAGTGTGACAAAGGTCAAGAATATCCAGAAGTCTTTTCTCCCGGAGCGAGTTATTCCATATTGGAACAAACTCCCTCCGGACGTCAAGAACTCTGTGACAGTTTTAGGTTTTAAAATTAAATTAGAAGGATATAAGATAGATATGATTTCTAAAAGTATTACAAATGATTGCTTTTTTTTGGAATGTTTCTAATGAAGTTTTAGTAAGAATTGAGGGAGCCAGTTATGTCAGTAATAAAGAGAAACATAACAATTATCTTTGGTTCCATCCTTATGTGGCAAAGAAGCGTTTTATAAATCTTTATTCCACTGGGAAGTTTTTAAAATAGGATAATGTTTTTGATGAAATTGTTTTTAAATATTGTATTTGATAATTAATTAATGTTGGTGGGGAAATATTTATTATATATTTTTTCACACAGTGCGATGATAGTTTGTAGACATGTGTGATGATGTGATGTCATAAATTTTACTTTACTTTACTATTTCTCACATACACACATACTTTACTGGGCGGCGCTCAGCCTGTCATTCCGCCGAATCTCTATTATGTTTATGAACATAATAGCCTGGGGTCCCCCAGGTAAACACATACTATGATACAATGCTAGTACTAAACAACAAACAAATACTTTTGCTATTAGCTCCAACTTTTTACGCTTTGATAGAGTCGCTGCAAACAACTGTTCCAAACAATTTAACTTGAATAGAGATCTAATTCATCGATTAATTATTGATTGTTGATATAACTACTATGTATTATATTAGCAACCTGGGTATTACATGCTCGTATAGTTGGTCACTTATAACAAAAAATGCCACCTTGCTCGAATATTAAGCTATACGCTATGGAAATTAAAAATAAACTACTTCTTTTAACAAAGGGACTTATAATAATAATAATAATAACGCTTTATTTGTATACCGCTTAGGCCGTATAAGCGACCAAAGTCCAAAAAATGGAGTTGATACTGGCCAACAAAGCGGTGCAGATAAATTTACCTTAGTAGTCCCTTTTCTAATCAAAAATTCAAATTTATAAATTGTAGATTGATCTTAAAGTCCTGCGTCCATGACTACTGAATCACCAAAAATACTGTTCGCACATACAGGATAGGCTTGATGAAATAGATGGGTCTTGAGAGCCTTCTTGAAAACATCCAGTCGAGAGATGGAGCGTAGTGAGTAGGGAAGTGTATTCCAGATTTTAGGAGCAGTGTGAGAGAAAGCACCAGCTGTAGCCCTCAGCCGTGATAAAGGAGGGCGTTCCAGTAGGAAGAAGTCATGGTCCATTCTGACATGATGTTTACTAGTGTCCCTAATTTTGACCATTGTCCTTAGATATTCAGGAGCACAATCGTTTAGGCACTTGAAAACCAGTAACGCTATCTTGGAGTATAAACGACCAAGTTTGCATAAATGCCTATCCAACCAAGAATTCAGGAGGCAAGGGTGGGTGCGTAAACTTTACTTGTTGTTTTCTTGAAATTGTTGTTTTCTTGAAGGGGTTCAGGGCAATGTTACAACACGCCCTTTCGAAAATTTTTGAGAAAACTTTACATAAAATTTAGTGCTAGAAACCGCTTTGAATTTCAAACTAGATAATGCTGTGGGTGGATCCAGCAAGACCATTTTTAACCTTTTTCCAAGCATTTTAGTGCACCTTGGGTTGCTTTTAAAGATAGACTTATTTCTATCACCACGATTAATATATGGTAGTATATAAATAATGCATCTGAAATTAACCTCACAATATTCCCTTAGCTAGGTTCAGTGTCAGACTTCAAGTTAACAGCTTAAAGGACAAGTTAGATTCCCTTTAGAGCACGTGTTCTTGTGTAACTAAAGTAACCCTGTTGCTATAGTGATACACACACGTGTAAAACAGTGCTTCATCATTTGACAAGCTGGAACCCATCCACAAGTTAATTGAGGTATACTTAATTGAACTAATTAATTAACAAATAGATAAAGCAATACAATCAAACTCCATACGTCATGCCAACTATGGTTAATGTTAATATAAGGGAATACTTTTACAATCATTTCGAATGCTTTGCTTGCAAAGATCTGTATTCATTATCAACATTGGGAGGTTTTCATTTAATGTTATATGGATTTCTTATCAACATTGTTTTAATTTTAATTTCAAACAACTCATTATATAGTTGTTTGAAGAAACTCGTTTCTTCAAACAAATATTTTGAACTGTGACAAGTCATAATTTATAACACTACATAACGTCGCGATGCATCGGTTGTGTATTGTGAAATTAATCAAGATGGAGTTGCAAATGTGTACTCCTGTTGAAGTTTTGAATGTGTTAGTGTTCAAATGTTGAAGTACAACTGTTGAAGTTTTTAATGTGTTAGTGTTCAGGGAGGGCTCCTGCCCAATTTGACTGACATGGATACAGCTTTAGAAACTGACAGACTCTGGGAGGATCGAGATGTCAGATTTGATGTGCCCTTGAGGTATGTATGATGATATATGTTTTCCTATGACTCTGCATGTTCCTGTATGTATTTGGAATGCTCACTAAATTATTGTTTTCCAATGAAGTTCTATCTTAAAGAGTTCAGTCTTATCATAGCCTGGTGGACGGTGGTTGCACAATGCACATCACATAGTAATTTCTCCCACTTAGTCAGATGAAGATGCGACCCGGTGAACGTCTTATTGACCACTTGGATAGTATAGAAGATACAAAAGGAAACAACGGGGAGAGAGGACGACTCATGGTCACCAACTTACGGATTATCTGGCACTCTAAGACATTACCTCGCATAAACCTATGTATGAACTTATGATGGCTTCAATTCATTATTTTATGGGTCGTTTATAACTTTATTTGATATCAATAACAGTATTTTAATTGAATCGGTGGTTGTGTTAATAATTATCTTTGAACTGTTTTAAAAAACTTTATACTTTAAATATTTATTTATTTTTACTGTAATTTTTACTGTTCAGCTGTTGGATTCAACTCTGTGATCAACATATCAACACGCTCGGCAGAGTCCAAACTCCGTGGTTCAACAGAAGCACTTTACATACTTACTCGGTGCAACAACACCAGATTTGAGTTTATCTTTACTAACTTAGTTCCTGATACTCCTCGACTCTTCACTTCCGTTCTGGCTGTGCAAAGGTGATTTCAATTATCATTTATTATGTCTTTATGTGGAATGGAGTGATATTTATATCCAATCTGATTGCAGATCACTTACAAGTTTTAAAACAAGGGCTCACTACTTTTCATCAACCATTGGGTTATTGATGGTTGGATTATATCCGGTTGGAAGAGACAAGGACAAATGAAACAGGAAGTTAGGAATTTAGGCAAATTTTCGGCGTCAACGCCATCTTCAGGCTCAAATTATTTGTTATATAGTAGTGTTGAAAGTATTAAAACTCATTGGGTTATTATTTCACTACAATGTTTATATAAGGTCAGCTAATTTCAAATTCAATACCCAGAGCGTACGAGACTACTAAGATGTACAGAGATTTGAAGTTGAGAGGAGCTCTGATTGCAAATAAGACATTAAGGCTTCTTCCTTTAGAAGAAGTCTATGATAAGGTGAGAAATCTGACTTATATTCTGTTCGATGATCTCGAAACTTTAAATCAATTTATTAATTTGAATTATTATGGTGGTTATGGACTCGTCCACTAACCATTTATTTATATGCTGTTGCAGGTAAATGGAGTGTGGAATTTATCTTCTGATCAAGGAAACTTGGGAACCTTCTACATCACTAATGTTAGACTAGTTTGGCATGCAGAAATAAATGAGACTTTCAATGTAAGTTGGATTCTTTCAAAATTAAAGAATGAGATTTCAAAGATTAGGTTGATTTGAGAATTGTACAGAGATTGCATCCAGAAATTCAATGATGATTCCTAATACATCACACGACTTTTATTGCAGGTCAGTATACCCTACATACAAATGAGAGCTGTTAAAATCAGAGACAGCAAGTTTGGTACAGCTCTTGTAGTCGAGAGTCTGAAAAATGTAAGTTATTTTGAATGAATTTAATTTTAAACTCTTAATTGCACTCATTAATTGGTCATGAGGTCTGATCATCATCTTCTTACAGCGTTCGATGTCTGTGTGAAGGTAAAATGGTGATATTATCCTCTGGATCAGGCAGAGGTCGAGTGTTATCGGGATTATTTCTTTAGTAGTGGAACAGCAATACTAAGGTAATGGGACTACTGCGGACCCTCTACCGGCCAAACCTTGTTAACAAAGCCGCAGTCAAGGTTCGGTGAACAGTAGTTAAAAGCGCTTAAGGGACATAAGTCAAATTGGTAGAGCAACATCACGCTGCAACTAAATTATTCGAGATTCTTCTCGAATAATTTTCAAGACTTGATGTTAACTTATTATCGGGGCAATTCCACGGTAAGGTTCCACTTGGTGAAAATGAAAAATGTTAAGATAGGCACCTAATTTTGGTTAAAATATGTTCATTAGACTCTTAACCTTACAGGTCAACAAAAGTTTTTTGTTTCATATTGCATTAACTTTTGATTTTTCTCATTCAAAGGAACACTACTCGGAAATGAAAAAAATCATTCAAATTTTCAAAGGGCCATAGTTTGGGTATGCAGGAATATTTCTCTATGAAATTCCATACACTTAAGCATAGGCATAAGAATGAGAGCCATGCAAAGTTTCAAAACCGTTACTCAAATAATTTTTCTAAAAAATTTCCACAAAGATGGTGTCGCGTCCGTCACAAAATTAAGCAAAAAAGTTTTTTCAGAGCCACATAGTGCTATTTATATTCAAAAAACCACTGTAACCTATCTCTTCTGAAGGTAAGGGAGTACCGTAGAAATTATCAGGCTTGTATCTTTTAAGAAAAATTTTTGGAAGGGGGGTCCCAACTTGTCGCGTCCGACACATTTTTTTGAAAATGCTCCAAAAAATCTTTTAACAGACTTTAAATGCATTTTTGTTAAAGCTGAGACCGTTCTTAACAAAACGATGTTGTCAAATCGAAAATTGGACAGAAAATGACTGAGTTATGTATAATTTTGTATATGCCCATATATGGGCGTACGGCTCACTTTTAGCCATTTTTATCCATATTTCCATTATTTTGACTAAAACCAAGACAAATTGAAGTCAAATAAGGTTTGACTATGTTGACTAGACTATCAAATAACATCATATGCAATTCAATAATTAAATTTACTGAGTTTTGCCATTTTATTTGCCTTAACCTTTTTCAGGGGTAAAAGGCACAAAAAATGGACTTTACCCTATTTTCGCATATTTTTGAAGTAAAAATTCAATATCTTCCACATTTTAAACACTAAAGTAATGAAACTTTTGGGAGATGGTCTCAACAGTGTGATGTGTTGAACAGAGATGAATGTTTTACCAGAGTTATAAATTTGTTCAAGTAGAGAAATAATTGCTGCCCCTAGAGTGATACCCTCGCGTATGCCCAAAATGGACGATTTTGGCTATTGCAGACCTCGTGGAAGTACTAGCGGCCTAAAAATTGGCATAAATATAGAATGAAGGTCACTGAACAAGATAAAAGTGTCAAATAGAAGATTTGGAGAAATTGAAAAAAAAAACGTGTGTCCGTCACAGTCACGTCCGTCACAATTTGAAAATGGCGCCACGCAAACAAAAACTGAGCAATCTCCAAAAAAATGGTATCTCAGAAATCCCTAAACCTTTTTCTATCACTGCATGTCCAAATTAGAGATAATAGATAACGTTTTGAGATAGATTTGGGTACCTTCTGAGTAGACACCCAAAAAAAGTGTCATATTTAAGTCGCGTCCGTCACAGGGGTGCTATCTCAGAAAGTAATAATGGTAGGGGTCTGAAATTTTCACACAACCTATAGAAAGGTTAAATGTGGACTAATAAATAGTTTAAGCTGATAAAGAAGCAACATCCTGAGCACAACATTCGTTTGAACTTTAAAAAATGGCATAATCGTGGTGTCCGTCACGGTGGAATTGCCCATCGGAGAAAAAGACGATTTATAAAGGAGCAACCTAACATTCTACCTACTCCTCATTTCTTAAGACGTCCACTACATGATGTTGCTCTACCAATTTGACTTATGTCCCTTAAGCGCTTTTAACTACCGTTCACCGAACCTTGACTGCGGCTTTGTTAACAAGGTTTGGCCAGTAGAGGGTCCGCAGTAGTCCCATTACCTTAGTATTGCTGTTCACTAATTGGTCATTGAAAAAAATTTAGTCAAAACATTGAAATTTGGGTCGAGGAAAGCTGATTATATCTGAAACCCATTTATTCCCCAACTTTTGGTCAAATGGGCCAAACACTACCCGCAACGACCCGTGTAACACCACACGTAACACCACACGTAACACCACGTGAGTATCTCACCCTCTAATAATCCCAGGCAGGAGGATACGTTTTAGGGTTCAGGATAGACCCTGTTGAGAAGTTGAACGAAGTAATGAAAGAGATACACAGCTTGTACAGAGTGTACAGTGCTAACCCTGTTTTTGGAGTTCAGTACCAAATCGAGGAGCGGGTAAGAAACAGTTAAATTGAACAGGGTTTTCAGGGAAAGGAAATAACTCTGGTAATTAACGTTTCCATTTTCGTTGGCTTGGCTACTTGTTGGCGCAGTTGGTTAGTAATATGCTATTCGTTCTGTCCATGGGCACTGAGGTAGTGTTCGAATCACAACAAGTTGGTGATTAGTGTAACAATAATCAAACCATTACTCATTTTTATTGATTATTATTATTGTATTGTTAAGATTACTTAATTAATTTATTGATCTTAGTTGGAGCCGATAGATCAGCTGACTATACAATACGAAGAAGATGATATTGAGATAACTAACGATAACCCGTCTAGTGATGCGTTTGTGGTGAGTAGATAAGAGTGACATTTATATCATTTA